GGGAAAGAAAAAAAAATTAGAGCCATTTAAAAACAACAGATCTTTCCTTCTTTTAAGACAAACAGATCTCCTGTACACTGTAAAACTCATCCAAGGTAGTGTCCATCGATCCATTAAATAACGCTTTAGTACAAACACAATCTTGTCCTAATTGGGATGCAGTTAACAAGGATGTTTTCTTCAGAACCAATTTAAATTCAGTAAAACTTAACAGAACAGGCATAGCAATTTATTTAGTAGGAGGTTTTTAGTTTTCTTGTGGTGCTTGTGGGTTTCTCCGTATAAGCGAGTGACTTGTTGGCTTTACTCATTTTGGTCTTTTAAAAATAGCTTTCGGTCATATAATACAAGCAGAAAGTGTAAATTGCTTCAAGCACTACTAGGGTGATTAGCAGTTATTTGGCACGCTGCATTCTCCTTACGCGTGTGCAAGCTAGTACACCAACTGTCTGACAGCCAGCTCTAGGCCAGTAACACACACAAATGTGTCCCAACAGAAACAGCATTTCTTCCCATTTTTTTTTTTTTCTGACATGCCTTGAGATATCCTGAGTCCTAGACAACTGCGTTACTATTTCAGTCGGGCCTCCTGTCAATTTTTACATAACACCTATTATATTTACTTCCCCCGAGTAACATGTGTAAATCATGTCCATCCAGCGAAGCGTGTGAACTGTGCCAGCCTCACTTAGATATTGTGGATACTGATGAGGTTATTAACAGCACAAACTTTAACACATGCCTGTAACCAGAGCACACGCCCAAGGACCATGGTGGTATGCTGGCTCTACAGCCTGTGCAGCCTTATGCACATAGCTATGGAGCTATTGCCATCGCTGTCATCTAGATGACCATCACAAGAACTTGCTGCAATTACAGCTTTATTTTACTGTGTAAGTATGAACCTCTGAGAGAAGATGAGACATAAGAGGCAAAAGGGAGAGAAAGGAACAGCGCCAGGCGTGTTAATTCACATGCAAGAGCAGATTAAACTGGGATGCTTGAAGCAGTCACACAGAAACACTCCACACGCTTCCCAAAGGTTAATGGCCCTGTGGCAGGGGTAGTTGATTGGGAACATTTGTATGTTCAACTGCCACGGGTTGCAGCATGGAATAAAAACTGCACCAGATCACATTCATATGCCTGGCTGCCAACTGCAGAGACTTGCAGGTGGTCACATTCAGTATTACGGGTGAAATAACTTCTCAGGTAGAGGTCCACATGGAGGACAGGAGAAAGAGGTGGCAAACCACTTCAGGTAGCCTGTCTTAAATAGAAATCAATAACCTATGTTTCTGTGGAAGCTCAGTGATACTCAGGTGGCAGAATGGGAGCTGCTATAGCTTCATCACTAAGGCAATGGTTTCACTGTGGAGTTGCTGAAGGCACGACAAAAGATAAAAAAAAGTAGAAAAGGGAAAAGGCTTGGCAGTGAGGTTAATAAAGCAAAAAAAGCCTCAGAGTTGAAAAGGGAGAGCGAAATGGACGTAAAGTTCCACAGGTAAGTCAAATCATGGATGAAGTGGTTGGAGATAGTCTAAAAACCGGTGGCAACCTGCTGAAATTCCAACTTTGGGTTGCTGGAATTGCTGATACCGGAACTGGGGAGAGATGTGCCAGACAGGCCTACTGTAGGGTATCCCCTAGAAAAATTCTCCTTGCTTTCCTTGTGTTACAAAGTTAGGCGGGCACCGGTTTGTGTGAAGACTGAAAGACCTGGCAGGTTTGTTGCACCATCCTGGTTCTGGGTGCTGTTTGTGTTGAGCAATGCTCCCCAGTGGAGATAACCCCACAACGGGGCCACTGGCTGCTCTTTGCAGAATGGCAGTGAAATTCTGACCTAGCACGTTTCCGAAAGTACCGGTGCTTTGAAGGTAAACTGCCGTACCTCTGTCTGTACCATGTTGATGCGACGGGACCGTAAGGCTTTGACACAGTTGTAGATATCCACAACACCTTCTCTTTCTGCCATATCTAACATGATATCGATCACAATATAACAGCCTGTTCGTCCAGCACCAGCGCTACGAAGAATCAGTAAATACTGTTAGGAATAGCCCCATGAAAACACCTACAAACTTTATAAACCCATTACTGGGAGTATTTTCATCAAGTCAGTCAGCTCTTTCATCACAACCACTATCTATTTTTTATCTTCTCTCCTTCTCTTCGTAATGTCCTTTGAATCTTTTGATGTACTCCAAACAACCATTTTCCATCAGATTTGATCCACTAAGTAACAGCAACCCCTTCCCCCCCGTTCTCCTCCTTTTATCACCCAGATCAATACTTAAAGTAAAAAGGAAAATTAGTTAAACTGAAATCTGGAGGATGATTAAGCTCATGCACTTCAAAATATGACAGATCTTGTTTTTACTTAATAAGACTAAGGATTATTTTTAGGTGATATATTACAAAAAGAAACTCAAGTGTATGTTTTACCAGCCAAGCTCTAAGCTGATTCAGGCAGCACATTTAACAGTATCCAGAAGAATCTCTCTTTTTGGTTTTACAGAAAGCTATGAACAGTGAATTCTTAAAATCTGTAAAGGCTGAGTAACTCTATCTACAGAATGTAATTAAACATTTGATGGCGCTAAAAGAGAATTGTTTGCCAAAAGACTGTGTCCCAACAACACAAACCTTGCAAAACTTGCACAGGGAAAACAACATTCTGTATTTGTTGCCATTAACCTCATTCTATCTCCCTTCATCTATTTGTTTACTTTGATTTAAATTAATAACCTGTTCAGACATTATATGCAACATCAAGCTATCAAAGCAGCTGTACTACACTTATTCTCAAATGCTATCATAAAATTGTTGTAGGCTACCTAAAATGATAGCCTGAAGTATCATGATGTAGCTGGTGCAGCTCTTGCAGGAAAAACAAAATCCCTGGCTATTCTAAGAAAAATGTACTAGAATCTGGTTGTTTCCAAATGTTGCTGTAGACAGCCAAATCCTACTGCTATGTGAATTAGGCAATTCAAAAAGGGAACAACAAAAACAAAACACTTCAAAATGATGGATGCTTCACAAGAGACTACTGCAAATGCTCACATACACACTTGTGGGGAAAAAAAAAAAATAAAAATCAATCCACCTCTTTGGTACACACCTGCAATGGACAACAATCGGCCCTGCACTAGGAGGGTTAGATAATTTGACTCTGCGTATAAAGGAAAGCAGGCCTGTGGCATTGTAAGGAACTCCATGATCTGGCCAGCCGGTGAAATGAAACTGTTTAACTTCACGGATTTCATTGTAGCCCCTCTGTAAAAGGCAAAAAAAAAAAAAAAAAAAAGGTTATGAAATTCCAAGTATTGCATAGACCTGATATTCTCTGACTCAAATAAGGATAACACACACTGATAGAATCTACATGCTGTTTTCATTGTTTCACCAATTATTTAAAGCAAAGACCATACAACGCTTAAAGATTTCATTGGGGTTTTTTTTTCATTTTGGAGTTTGTGATTTTTACTTTTGCCATTAAATATGCTAGTTTTGCTTCGTTACATCTATTTTTTTATAAATTTAGATGTAATTCGCATTGATTTTCAGAAATTTTGCTAATTAAGACAATGGCCTGCTACGTTTACAGGCAAGTATAATGATTTACCAGAAGGCCACGACTGTATCACACATTTTGCATTCGCAGAGTTTGTTTTTGATTAAGTAGAGATTGACTCAGGGGCATCCAGGGCAGCGTGAATGGAGATGAATGACAGGCATGACTCATAACTTGGTATCTGCACTCAGCTCAGAAGTGAGGCTACAGAGAAGAGGTGACTGGCAGAGAGGGGAGGGTAGCAGCAGCATTTCTGGGGAAATTCAAAATCCCACAGAGACGAGTGTTTGAACAGCCTGACGCAATGCGCTACTTCCATGGCGAGGTAAGGCTGCCTGCACTGTGGGCCTGTTAACCAGACAGAGGGATTTGGTATTGTACAGCAACACCCCCAAGCATAGCCTCCTCCACACTCCTTGCTACCAGGGATCGGTGTTTCGCCAAGCTCCTTCAAAATGTGCTCACCCTTCCCAAGGTGAAGGTCCTGACGACGTACTCCGCAAGGGGCTCCATCTCTATACAAGTCACTTTGAAGTCACCATAAACTTCTGTGTCATCAGGCCAGTACTTGTAGCACTTGACCTAAATACAAAATGGGAATGCATTTTACACAAAAGGAAAATAAAAGCTTGGGGATACAGTACTGCATGTACTGCATTACACCACATTTACTTCCAAAATGACCACGCGCTCATGTGGCTAATGGCTGTTCTGTCAAGTTAAGCACTAGCTACAAGGAGTTTCCACTGCTTTACACAGCTGTACTTAGATGCCAAATCCATTTCTAAATGAGCATTTATATTTTTTTTTAGTGCTGAGCTATGGAATACATTTCCACTTATGCTAAATTGGGATGCATTCCATATCAATAATCTAACTGTTGCAAGTAACCCCACATACTTTATATTATTCCCTGAGGGATGTGTTACTGCTAAACTGTAAATAATTTGCTGATTTCCAGCCACTGATATAGAAGCACATTTGCTCACCAGTCCACTTACTCTGCTCATTTGAGTGACAATATACAAAGCTATTTTGCTGAAATATGAATTTTGAATTCAGACAATTTTTCACAACTCATGAAAGCAGCACGTCATCAGTCTTCTTCAGAAGTTAGCTTTGGTTTTACAGATACCGTAACTGCAACAGTGTCTGGCCTCTCCCCCTTCCCCTCTTCTCAGGATGCAGGGCTGTCCTTCCCAAGAATCTGCTATGTTCTGCCGATAGTCTGCCTTGTCAGCAGGTGTTTCTTTAGGCTTGTAGCAGTAAAAGAAAAACAAAACAAAAACTTACTCTCCCAACTTCCACTAAATTTGTGACCATCACAACACAAGCTGATTGCTCCTGCCATATCATTCTCCAAAAGTCATACACAGTCTCATGAACTGGACCTGTAAGAAAAAAATTCCAGGTAATATCTGCAAAAAAAATAACAAGTCAAAGCAAACGCTAAAAGTAAAACCCAGTGCTTTTCAGAGCTGATACTCATGAACATGCTTGCTCAGAGATGAAAGCTTCGTGAAACCACATCATCATACCAGCATGCCAGTTTCCAGACTGTATTGTTATTTCTAACCAATGCTGAATCTTCTCAGTTTAACTGAATTACCACTTGAAAGAAATTAATAGCAGGTGTTTCACAAAGCGAAATGCCAGAAGTTGCTTGAAAACTACCAGGACACAGCAACATGTGACTGCATTTCTAGGTTTGTTTTACATTTGTTAAATAGAACGCGTGAGTGTCTTCAGACGTTCGCCGAGGAGATGCCCACACCGGTGTGAAGCATCCGTCGGGAGGGCTGGCGGGTGGGATGCTGCGCACTTACCATACCACCTCCCGGCAAAGCGCACGAGCACGAGTAGGCGCCGAGGCATAAACTTCCCACTGAAGGGTGTTTAAACTAACTTAGCTACTTTCCTGCGAAGCAAATGAGGAGCACTTGCTTAAGCTTTGCCTCCTGCTCTGCTGCAGAGACAAGATACGTTCAGTTGAGCGCCAGCGGCTTTTACCCTGTTACAGTCATCTCAGAAACAGCTCCCTGACCACAGTCCAGCAGCAGTATAAATATTACTGTATGTAACACACATCTGAAGACTCAACCACATTCCTTCATCTGCTAGATCGAAGGCTGCATACTAAAGCAGCAATACATTTTTGTACCCTTTACACACTACTATGTGCAATGATTTGCATAGTAAACAGAAATAAAATACAAATGTAGACTTAATTGCCATAGAGAGATCTGTTTAGATGGCACTTACACAAAAATATAAAAAAGTGTGGAGAGAAATTTGAGCATCCTGCTTTAAAACAAGCCTTTAGTTTGTCTTTCCTGTGTGCAACTACAATCAACCAAAGGCACAAATAACAGGGTACTTCCAGCCAGCTATCTGATTATACTCACAGATCAAATAATGACACATCTAAATCTAATTATTTTTACTTTAATTCATAGCCTCTGATATTTCAGTGCAATCATAGACTAATCTGTTTGTTTTTCCTCATTGTGAGGAGTTTTATCAGAAATACAAAATGAATAATTTCCATAGAAATTCAATTTTTTCCTCTAACTCCCCTTTTTATTAGCAGGGTGTTATATGATAAAGACTTCCCTCACTTCTTCCTACAAAGAGGCTTTGTCCTTCTCTGGCCTTACTTTACCCAGATTTTCTGAGATAGTGTTTAATTTATCATTACTATCTTCACTGTCTCCATCCCAGACTAAATCCTAGACAGTAAAATAATACATTGTAATATGGAAAGAAAAATGCCTCAAGGCAGGCTGAAACTGTTCTCTTCTCTGTCCACATGCCTCTTTTCTTTATTCATCTTCATAACTGGAAATCGCGGTAGTAGCTTCTGACTTTATCAGCTGAATTTATCACTGAAAGAATTGCTCAATAGCTAATTAACATGACAAATTACTGCAATTTTTGCATTTATTCACATTCCACCTGAACATGCTATGTTAATTTACCATAACACAAGATGACAACTCACAATATTGGATATGCTTTATTTTCATCTACTCCCATTTTACCAAAACACTGCTGGACACTACAGAGAACACTTGTTCGGTTTGATTGGTGCTGGCAGATTCTTACCTTGGGTTGCAATGTAGTGACTTGGTCTCTGATATCCCTAAAACAGCAATATAAGTTGGTTTGAGTACCATATTACTAACAGACACGGGAAAATAAAAGCATAAGGGTGCTACAGAATTCTTATCTCTAGACAACGTTTTCAAAACAAACCAGTATTTAAGAGCAGCATGAAGCTCAAAACCTGAAAAACGGGTTAATACTGAAAAGGTTCGAATGACAACAGAAAAAATGGAAATAAGAACATCTGACTTGAACAGACATCATAGCGTACAGGAAGAAGTAGTCTAGATGGGACCGTTGGGCCTAAAAATTAGTTCTCTATTGACATTATCTCCCCAGCCGAATACATTGGGGTGCTTATTTAAAATTTAGTACAAATTGTCTTTGCCAGCAGATTATCTCAATAGTTGGTCTGTGTTCCCAACTCATCCAGTATGAAAAAAATACACACCTTTTGTCTTCTTCCAAACAGAGAATTACTATAAGGCCCAAAGAGGTATGTACCCGAGCCATAACTAATGGGGACACAGCTGGACACTGTGGTGTGTGCACAGAATCAAGGTCCTACTGCAGTGGAATCTTGTGCAAAGTATTTTGCGCTACTGCACAAAGTATGCATCAGTTATACTGGACATGATACACACAAGCATATACGCATACATATATATATATATAGCTAGATAACTCTACACGACTAAGCCTTTCCAGTTAGCTGGGTTTATGCCAATGCTAGCAGTACTGTTCAGCTTTAATCGTCTGCATAAAAACCACCAGACAGAGATTCTGCTCTTGAGGAAATCATTCAGAATATATTTTGACCAGTGCCAGCAACACTAGTTACAAAGAGGAAGGAAACTTTAGTATCGCTGGAGAAGACAATAAAGAATTTCGCAAAGTGCAAATAGTAAGGAAATATCACCAATTATTTTCTAGGTTACAGTTTTATTAGGCCACTTGATTCAAGTATGGCATTACAGGGTAGCACAAGTCCTTGGATTCCTGGTACTCACAAGATGCTACTACAGTGAAGGATTTCAACATACCCAAGGAGTTCATATCCTTTTCCAGGCTGCTTCATTATCCTGTCTAGAGTGCGAGCACCTTCCTCTGGGGCTTACGAAAAAACTTCTGAGTATCTTACTCTTGGCATTACAAGAGATCAAGATTGCATCAAATTACTAAGAAATTTCTCCTGGAGTTCTTAATATCAAGCCCCAGCTTCAAATAATGAAAGTGGAACCTACGCTACACTATTTTACACTCAGTAATGCTTTCCACAAGAAGGTAAAAGTTTTAACTTCTAGCTTTCCTGTCTGGTTATAATGAGATTCAATTTACTCCTAAATAAGAGAAACAATGTCCTCAAGGAACTGGAATTATTACAAATCTGGGAGAATTTTCTTGTTTAAGGCCCCAGGCAAAATATCACAGGCCTAGCACTTCACAGAGATTGCTGTGTGAAAATATCAAAATAACGAGACAGGGATATACCTGGAGCTAAATCTTTATAACCTGGAAACTCAAGAGGGTCTTAAATAATTTATCAACTACGAGTGGACAGGAAAAATTAGTAAGGTGCAACTATAAAGAAAAGTAATGCACGCCATGTATTGTACTAGCTCTTCCAGTATCTTTGGAATTACTTTGAATACAACAACTTGCTTATTCCTAAGGTGTTAATTGGATGAAAGTCATATTTTGTCAGTTAAAACACCTGGCAGAATTTGTTCAAATTTCCTGTTTGTATACAAATTTATAATTTAATTTGTATTTTAATGAAAGCATGGTATTTCAAACTTTAGAAGTTTTCTGCAGAAGTGAGCAAATTTCTACGATGCTAAAATATTTATATGTATATATATATATGTTTGCATTTATACTTTGTCATACCTAAATTAGCACCTTAAGACAAATGTCAGCTAAATATTGTTCGTCTAAATCGTTGTTAAAACCATCCCCACCACCAGCCATCATCCCTCCCTTTTTCTGACTACTTCACAGGTACGTTTTCAGACGACTACAGTACAGTATACTATCCAGCTTCGCACATATAAATGGGAAGGGGAAAAGAAAAGCTAGTGGCCAAAATAATCATCATTAAAAAAAAACCCCAAAGTGAACAGCAACTTCTGTTTAACAGACAGGTTCACCTGAGTTATTTAACACTATCTAACAATATTCAGAGCTATGTTAAAAGGCTAAATTATCTTTTCAAAACAGGTACAAAAAATATTCACACAAAAGGAAATTTTTTAAAGGAACAGATGAGACAAATTAGACGAGGCATGCATAGTTATCTATGATAAAAATAGAACAGGAAAGTGATTAATAACAATATCTATATTAAATATTTACAATAGGATGCTGTTATTCACATATAGTGGTACTTACATCCCTGTACAGCCAAATCTACAGCCCAAACCAAAGTCAGATGTGAAAGAAAGCACAACAATGTCAGTGAGTACTAGGACATAGAACAAGGAAAGTGTACATTTTGTTCTTAATAAAAGAAAGCTTTCAATAAATTTGTAGGCATAACATGCAATAGGTTCACATAGAGAAGCTGGCAAATTGAGAGGGAGAAATCTGTGCAATCCACTCACATCTATGTAGTTGGCATTAATGTAATCTGAAGATGGATCATCTTCAACGGGTTGCAAAATCACCCTGGAGTGGTCATCTGTAAAAACCAAGTGGTTACGGTGCCTTTCTGAAGCGTGATTTTTAAGCAAGACATTATGGTAAGTCGTCTAGAAAACCAAAACCACCTAGCATAAGCGCCTCACAATCTACAACCCTTAAACAGTCAGTATTTGTCAGAGGTCTCCAATTACTTCAAAAACATTCACTAAACTTCATTAAGTATAGCTGAAAGGTATCACACCGTTACACGCGATTAAAGAGACACAAAGAAACCAGGCCATTTGCTCAAAGTCCCTTTCAAAATCAGCTCCACTGATGGTAATCTAGAAAACCAGAAATCCTGATTACTGTTTCCTTACTGCTGACTCCAGCACGCTTAAGTTCATACTGAGACATCAAAAAAGTAAGTTAGCAATGGTTAGCGATGCACTTTGGATTTGATGAAGAGGTAACTCTGCCCGTTCAGGGAATTCTCCGATAGATTCATTCCTGCATGTTTGATGAGTTTTGTAAAACAGTAACAAACTGCATTATCCCCGGGGATGCATCTAAACTATTGAAACTTTAAGCCTAAAGACAAGAGACAAAACCCTCTGATTTTAGTCACATCTTTTAATCATCAGTTTTACACAACTGCTGTTCAGGTGTATCAGATATAAATCACATAAAGCAGAAAAGTTTTGAAGCTGTCAGATTTACCCGAAATGAATTATAACTGTAGAAGACTGCCACAGAATTAACATCCAAATGAGTGCTAGCTTGTCGCTGTTACACGCTTACCACAGCTTGCACAACAGAGATGCAAATGTGAAATTCAGCCCGAGTTATAAAAGGAAGAAAGTTGAACTGTGACGAACAAAAAACAAACAAACAAAAAAAAAATGCTGGAAAAGGCACTGTCCTCCTTCTCCGCCTGGGGTATTAAGCAGCTATGCCACCGGAGACTTGTAAAGAAAGAGAGCATGGCACGAGTAACACACAACTACGGCTACTGCTCAAACCAAGCACACTGATACTCACATGCTATAATGTTTCCATAGCGGTTCTTTGTTCTGTTTTGATCCTTCTTAGCGACATCCCAAGAAGCTGACTGCCCCTCAAAGAAACTCTATAAATAAAAATGTTCCGAAAGAAAACATTCTGACCATTAATTTATCTCCAAAAATAACAGTTTACAAGAACTGCCCTACCATAAAGTAAGCTCAGCTTTGCTCATCCGCTCTGGTCACCCAGACGGCACCATGGTATAGAAATATATCTAGAGAAGGAGGGAGGCTCTCTCCCTCTGACTGCTCTGGGTCGATGGGCAAGTCACTGAGGGACTTCAAATCCTGGAAACGCTGGAAGGCTAAACTTGCTTAGACATCCTTTGCTATGGAGGAACAACAGTCAGCCGAGGAAGCACAGGGAGGCCGGTCGCCCTTCTTACAAGACACCGTAACACACAGCCTGTTTACTACAGCATTACATTGCTTCCCTCGTATTGCTTAGTAAAATGGCCTTTCTTCCTACAGAGCCATCAAGAAGCGTCCTCTGCCAGTGTTTATTGTTCGTGTTGTTTTTCCTCATATCCCTCCCTCTAGCCACTAGCGGCAAAATTATTCTACATTTTTGAACACTTCTTAGGAGTCTGATCTCTCAGCAGCGATAGAAGCAGCTTTTAATCCTCCTCGGCTTTTTCTTCATTGCCCGTAGATATTTTACAGCTGTTGCAGGTCTACGCTATTCTTTCCTTCCAGATGTTCCCTTATCCTGACCTGGGTAAGTTACCTCCAGGAAGCACACAGTAGCCACGGAAACATAATGCACACTCAGAAGCCCAAGCCAGGGCAAAGGTGTCATGTATGGTAATAGAAGCAGCACTGAGTAGGAAAACACCTGATGTGGCATCAGGGACCGCCCTCCCCCCCAGCAGTGGTTGACACTTGGGTTTAGCCCTGAAGTTAGGCAGAGGATAACAAAGCATATTTAAGTAAAAGAGAGGAAAAGAGAATAATATTCATTTTAAAACCACACATTTATTTATTCCAGTTCTTACGTTACAGTAGAGACAGCTGCAGAAAGGAGAGAAGGTTGAAAACTGAGTCAGAAGAGATTACTTACTCAGAGAAAACTAATTTTAAACCTAACTGTATTGCATGCGACCTTGGCAGTACCATTGCCATCTTTACTGTTTGTCCTGCCTGATACTCTAATCCCAAAGAATCACAACAGATTCAGAGATCAGAAGCGAAATGAATCCGCACTCATCTTCTACCTCCAGCGCTGGGAATTTTTTTGCTTCCATTTTGACATTAAAGTTGTAAGTAGACATGCTCAGGCAGGTCTAATTAGAACTTCAAGAAGTTACTACCCTCAGCATGTCTTTACTGCTTCTCAGCTGGAGTTTAGTCCCAGTATTGCCCTACTAAGATGCTATAATAAATCATGAGAGTGCTTCCAGTCAGTGCTTCTCACAAAACCAGCCAGGTTAAATCTTCACTTTAACCTAATCCGGGAGATCTGCACCGAAGATGACTCAGAAAACTCACAGAACTAGTTACAACATTTCAACTAAGAAGCAGCGATGAAAGGGTGGAGATTTCTTACAATACGTGCAAAAAGATTCTTAAGCTCAGGAGGATACAGATAGTGTTTTTTTCCAGGCACTTTTAATGGCTCAAACCATGGGACTCCACTCACTATTTCACTTTTGGGTTACATATATAGGAATCTTACGCCTGCTTATCTTTATCTGTTTTTCACTTAAAACCATGACGTGTAGTTGTATCCTTTTGCAATGCAATGCAAACAACAGGCTGCCCCTTTCAAAGGGATTTTTTCCTAGCAAAAACCCACCACTGAAGATCTCACCTCATACTCCTCTTTAAATCCATAGCTGTCAGAGGTCTTCATTAGGTTAATATGCTGCAGCAGATCAGCCACCCTGATGGCCGGGTGCAGCTGCCCAGTCTGGTAGGGGGATTCCGTGCCTTCGCAGAGGTAACGAGGGACATCCAGGAGCCGGCTGGACTCTGCTGTTGCACTGTGATTTTCATCTGTATTCACAAGAAATCAATGCGTTAGGTACCTGCGGGGCAACAACACCTGCTGCTATACATATCAACATCTATTTTCAACCTCTTCCTTCAAAAATACATCTAATTTCTGAGAACGCAAACCACTTACTCTCCAGCACATAAATACTGTGAAGTACATAAAGGAATTTAACTGCAAACACATACAAAAGTTTGCAATCTTTCATCCTGCAATAAAGATGTCTGAAAGGCGTTTTATTGGAAACTACCAAACTTTATGACATTAATGGACTTGGAAACTCCAGCCTCTATCACCCAGAGTAACTTTTTAAATGGCTAATACGTATCAACAGCAATACTACACCTGAAACAATAAATTAGAATAACTCTGCAGTAGTATCAGCACATCATTTGTCCAAAGCCAGCAAACAGTAAATTGAGATCCCAGTAAAAAAGAGAAGCAATTATGCTACCGCTTCAGAACACTACCTCCATTTGGGTAGATGAATCAGCGCTTCAGAATGGTCATTTTAACTCGGGTCTTTTAGTAGAGAAATGAAACTGTTGAGTGTGCTGAGTTCAGCCGCAGTTTTTTGCTTGGTATAAACAAAGAAATCTCCTCTAATGCCCTACGTTACACCAATTCTCTTATCAAAACCAAATGTCAAAGCTGTGTGAAGTGATCACATTTCGTCAATCCCTTCTGTGAAGTATTTTTTTTTTAAATTAGCCATCAGCAGTTCAAATTAATTCAGAGAGGAAGAAAAATTCTAATTGAAACCCATTTGGAAAGCAGCTACCGAAATGGGAAATGGGTAGCCAACCACTCCAACATTTCTTTGAAATCAGTTTACTAATTTCCTTGCAAAGAATCCAGATTAGGAAGTAAAACACCCTAGGGAAAAAACTGAACACCCCAAGGGTTGGATTTTCTACAATTCCACCAAAATGAAAACCCCGTTAATGCCTTCTGAAACGAGATCTCCTAGTAAGAAACCCGATTCTTTGAACTGTCACACAAGTTGCTAATTTCAGTACATTTATGCCTCACTAAATTGCTTAATAATGAGTGACATGCAGTAGTCATTTTTTATTGTAGTGTTACCCATATTAAATCATACCCATTTCAAACCACCTCAGGATTTGCAGTTCTCCCCATTCCTCGCAATATACTTACCAGTAATAGGCACTTTAACCCATTGAAGCAGCAAAAAACAATGAGTGAACAGAACATAAGAAATTTATTTCAGGACTATATTAGTTAGAAAATGACTAAAAGAAAATGACATTAGAAGTTGTTAAAGCTTCACAATAGGTAACAAAGAAAGCCATTTTAAAAATATAAGGGCCACATTATTATGCCATCAATGTAATGATAGGGACTTGAGAAAAGCAAAATTGTCATACTAACAGTGCTAATGTACACAGAATGGAGACTAGCATTAATAACCTATACATGAAGAAAAAGAAACCTAGTACAGCTACAAAGTAATAAGAGCTTCATATAAAATAACATGTTCTATAATTTAGAGGCCGTAAATTTTTGCTCATCCCTAAATAAAACAGAGGAAAACTGTTTTGTGATACTGGGCCAAGCAAACGCTACATGGAGATGGAGTAGGCCAAATGATCTAGTTCCAAAGAAACAACCTTTCAGGTAAGCCAAGCCCTTCTACATGGCATGCCCAAAAGCTTGTCTACTTCTCTCTGCTATTTCCATCCGTGCAATGAAAAATATTACCTCTTCCAACTAGCATTGCTCTGCTTATACCAGGAGAGTATCATAGAATCCCGGGTTGGAAGGGACCTCAAGGATCACCTGGTGTAACCTTTCTAGGTGAGAACATAGTCTAGACAAGATGGCCCAGCCTCCTGTTCAGCTGAGTCTTAGAAGTGTCCAATGTAGCGGAGTCAACCACTCCCCTGGGGAGATCATTCCAATGGTTGACTGTTCTCATTGTGAAAAATTTCCCTCTCATGTCCAATCGGCATCTCACCAAGATCAAGCCCAAAACACCATTACCAGTAGATGGAAATGCAGACAGGAACTATTAAACTGCTCTTCAATTAATCCCTTGTCCTCACTGTTCACAACTGCCCGTGTCTGTGTCTGCCACAATGTAGTGGCAACACATTGACCTTTGGAATATGCTTATAGCCTAAATGAGCTACTAAGAATAGCTGGACAAGTATCACTAGGTAGTAACTATGTAGCTTCTAAGTGCCTGAAATGAAGCTAAAGGATACAAGATGATCTTAAAAGAATTTCAGGAAAAGACTAATTTCCTGTAAGTCCATTGATCTAATTTTGGGAAGTAGTCAGAATTACTGAGTCTACCCCTTTGCTCTTTCAGGCAACGGTGCTATTTCACCACCTCATAAACTTCTTGAACCACCTGGTTAGGTTTCCTTGGGCACAAAGCGGAAGGCTCCAGCATCTAACTGCTCTGATGTTTATAAACTTGCTAAGACACTACCGTAGTCAAGAGAATGGCATTTGCAGCATTATCAAAAGGAAATGGGCAGAATATGGCTCGATAAATCTCCCACCTGCTGAGTATACACCAGCTCGACAAAGACCAAAGACTACTCACAAATAGTGATTTGCTGTCAGTCTCAGAGGACACTTTACATGAAGATCTGCAAAGGCTCCTCCTGGGTATACACTCTGTCCATATTTTTACCCACAACTTGCATAATGGGATAGAAAATACCCTGAGAGTATGGGCAGAGGGCACTGAGCAGCAAGGCACCACAAGCACTTCACAAGTACAGGATCAGATTTCAAAGTTATCTTGATTATTTGGGAGACAATGCAAAAGTCAACAAAGTGAATTAAACAGCGAATGCAATATACTGTGTGTAGGAAAGGAAAGTCAAATATATAACTATAAAATGGATTAACAGACTGGGTAATGATAACTGGGATTTTAGCAGGTAACTTAAGTCAGCAACACGAGTGCAATAAAAAGGACAAAATACAGTTCAGGTAGCAGGAACACTACAAGCAGGGCATGGGGGTACCTATTCCACTCAGCTTGGCATTTAGACTTCTCCTAAGAACTGTACCTGATCTGGCGCACCACAATTTAGAAACTCGACCTACGAGTCAGGAAGTGTTCAGAGGAAAAGAATGATAGCAAGTTTAGAACTAAACAGCAGCTACCAGACAAAGAGTGAAACAACCGGCTTTAACTCAACTAGAAGAGAGACAGCTGAGGGCACATGAGCCTTTCAAGGGCTTTTTTAAAAGGGCAGGAATGTGTCCGTTCTCCATATTTTCTATGAGTCTCTCAAAAGGAAATGGCCCAATTCACAGCAATGAGGATGTACTCTAGATTAGTCTAGTTAGGAAAAACTAGGACTGAGCATTAATACTACTCAGTAGTAACACACAGTTAGTAGTCACTAATACTCAGAAAATTGAGCTTTGGGTCCCAAATAATACTAACATGGATCTGAATTTTATTTAGGAGGAGCGAGGCACTGGAACATGCCGCTGCAAAAGTAAAATTCTCTTCACCACAGATTTTAAAAATACAATAGATGATCAACTGCCAGAAACAGTCTATACTATAGGTATAACGTCCCATATCAAAACGGAGGAGGGATTAAATTGTATACAGGTCCCTTTAAGCTTTACCTCTAGAAATCTAACTTTCAACCTCACTTTATATTCATACATACTTCCTGATATTTGCCTTGTATCTTAAAATAACCTCAGCAACTGACTGAAACTCAATACTGCACATTGTGTTTATCAAACCAAGAACTTGGGTACAAATTACACTTTTAAAACCTCTAAAACGCGCATTCAGTGTTAGATAAGACACAGAAATAAGCAGCCTGGACACTCCCAACATCTGTTTTTCTTTTTAAAGTAAGTACAAAGTTGAAAAACTTAATAGTTAAGGCCAATTGAAAAATGTAATTAATATAGCCATACAAGAATATTTGTACAGAACCTACAAAGCTGTTTGTTCTTGGGCATTTCAGCAGTTCTTCCCTTTTCTATCTTTGTTTTCATTCTTGCTACTTACTTAGAAAATCAAGCTTTGGGTACCAAATAATACTAAGATGGATCTGAATTTTATTTTTATGTAGCTCTTAAGAGAGTTCTAGTTTCACATATTGGTTCGTTTGAACTCAGTTTGAAGGCTTTGGGGAGAAAAGTTTTAGTATTTTCCATTTACCTATTTCCTCATTTCCTCTTCAGTTGGTACTGACTAGGAATACTTCTAAATGAGAACACAAAATAATTTTTCTTCTAAAAGCAGTGACAGTTTAATTCTGAACTGATAAACTGAGTGTCGAGTTATTTTCGGACAACAGCATAGCTATCTGTTACATAAAACAAGCTGTTTCAATGTTCAACCATGCACGGAGACAAAACTCATGCAGGAATGGATAATGAAGGACTAGGGTCCTCACCTAACACAGCTGTCGGCACAAGTGGATCATTGGGCACTGTAGGAAAACAAAGCTCATGAAGAAATACATTACCCTCAATTTGTGTATTTTTTAAGAGTAAAAACAATACACTTCAGAATATAACCAAGTGATAACCCCATTAATTTTGTTACAAAGAGAAAAACAGGATGAATACACAGTTCCAGAAAGCATCCTGAATAAAAGAGAAATGAAAGGCAGTGATTTTGGACTTAGAAATGTAATGATAAAGGCAAAGAGATTCTTACTGAAATGAAATAAAGAAGACATTACATGCAATTTAGTTTTTGAAAGGGCTCCTCCTTCACTATTGTTCTTTTGCTTCACAATAAAGGTTCACTTTCATAGAACCAACTCCTTTCTTTTAAACCCATCCTCTCATGTAATACTTGAATAGCTCATCTCAAAATAAAATGGTATTTCTTTAAAGCTTTCCAGGTAATTTAAAAAATGATATACATATTTACAGTTAATAGCTTTTTTTTATATGCAATGCCAAAGATATTGCTCTTAATGAATACAGGAAAATCACAGATACACAGATGCAGATGCTTGAATAGAATTCATAGAATTTTATCACTTGTTATCACAACTAGAACCATGCAGAGACAAATGCGCTGTTTCGGACAGAAATGGCAGAATCCAGAATTTGGTTTTGCTCCAACCTGGAACAAAAATTTAAAATATCAACAGCTCTGTGACAAAATTGAGCTCTGGTTCTCAAGCAATCTGCCTAACAGTTTGTAGCACAGCAGAAAACCCCAGAAACTTGGAAGGTTCTTTGCCTCAGCACAGACACTGGTCAGGAGAACTGAATCTTCCAGTACCCCAAAAAATCATACACCTAGGTTGCTGGAAAACAGTGATGCCAAACTTCTTTGGCAACCAACCAGGACAGCTGTGGTGGCTGGGGCTCACGGGCTCTTGGAGTCATGTCAGTTCATCCAGAAGGCTGCCCAAGTGCCTGGCAGCCCTGGCTCACTAATAGCTACGCAGGTTCCTGATGGATAGTTTGCTTGGGATCCACCATAACAGCCCAAATCGAACTGTCTTTGCAAACCTGCCTCCACAAATTTCAATGCCAATAAGACATGAAACTTCGGAGAATTTTCAAGCAGTTCCAGCCAAAACTGTGTGGAAAAACTCACAGGCTGATACTAAACTCCCATTTATAATTGGTTATGAGACACTTAAAATGGTAAGCACTCTGCAGTTTGGTAAGCTTCAATAAACTGAGCAATAAACCCTCCTCCAAAATCCATTTCCCTTACAACAATCAGGAAAGAACTTAAGAGCCTTAAGGGATGCATTTTGCTCAAGCACGGTAAGCAGTATGGGAGGCAGGAGAAGGGAAATGGAGTGCTGTTCCGAAAAGATGGCAATTCAGAAGCAGCTCACGCTGCTCAGATCTGTTTAAAGCCAAGCCACAACTCCATGTGGCCGTGAGGTCAGGATCTTGCCAGCTCCGTGGCAGAAGTGCGTCCCTTCAGTAACTTATACACTAGGTTTGAGGTATTCAGTGTTTGCCAGTGGAGTATCTTGCTTTTGTGCAAGGCATGGTGCAGATGCTGGGAGGCAGGCGTGCTGGACAGTGGTAGCTATAAACCCAGACACTTAACAGTCAGAAACCCAAATTGCCAAACTTTGTCAAAACCAGACAGTTGGCAAGTCTACAAAACAGGAATACAAATATAGACCAAATTTGCAGATATATTAACAAGCTTGTTCCTAAACTTCACAAACAGCAATGAAAATTGTCGATGTTTCCTTCTGTTATAACATCCTTACTGCCAAAAGAAAGAAATTAATTTGGACGTTATATTATTATTCATTACAGACATGGTGTTACGCAGTGATATTTAACATGTTGGTATTAAACATCCTCACGAGGGAAAATCAATTTCAGATTTTAATTGAGATATTCTAGAATTTTAATATTTTCCCTAGAACAAGTATCAACGCATACTGAAAGTACATGTAAATATTTAAATAATTGGCCACATACCAATAAGGAAAACATAGAAAAATCCCTACTCAACCTTTGGATTTACCAGCGTTCCCAGAAAACCTGGAGCTTACAACAATTTTCCTTAAAAAGTAGAATTGTTTTGCATGCTTCTGTATTCACCTACACTCCAGAGTATCTATCAGTGTTGTACTTACATCTGGGGCTGAAGTTATGAGAGTCCATAAATGTGATCGAAAGGGGATCCTCTGCATGCAGGGTGCTCTGGTCAGCGTAACTCCTATCCATCGCATTCACCATGTGCGTCATCTCCTGGCGGGTGGTCCCCATGGCATCCTTGCGCTTCTTCGCAAGTTTGCTGCCCAGCCAAAAAAAAAAACCCAAACCACCTTAATATTTGATGAACCTTGATGTCTACAGTAGTCATTATCTACAATCCTGAGTAACTGAAAAGTTTGGCTGATTTTCATGTGTACAACTTTTCCAGCATGAAATTGATAAAACTCGGCACCCTGCTATGAAAGACTTGCGACCGTGTGTTTTCTGTACACACACAAATGCTGTAATGGAAGTGCTAACTTCTGTACCCTGGTAATATTTTTTTTTCCTGCGGAGTAATTACACTAATATAAACAAATTAGAGAATATAATTACATTTTAACTGAAATGATAAATAAGAAGCATCTGTGCATGCAGTTTTATCAACCAACTCCATTTAAATCTGTGTTTTGATTTTATAAATGGATAATTCATTCCCCTTGCTTGAAGAAATCATTTAACCTTCTAAATTACTTTGTTAGTCAAAAGCCCTATGAAATAACAAAAGAAACATAATTATTCAATATGGATTCATATTACCTTTTATATTAAAAGTTGTTCTTCCCATTCAGTACACAAGATACAATATGATACCACAGTTTGTTCCTTAACACTGAACTTTGGTTCTTTAAAAACCAAACAGTTCCCCCCTCTCACCGCTCCACCCTTTCATGCAGTTTAGGAACATTTTGACATTAACAATCTTATACTCCGAATGCCTCACAGTTAAACAGCAACCTAATCTACGACTAAACCCCCCAAGTTAACAGCCAATGCCCTTAAAGTGCACACTTCAGAAATATCTCTCAATTCTTTCCTTTTGATGAAGAACTGGAAGAGATTTTCACTGTCTCCAGAAGCCAGACGGAAGCAGACGATACATTTTAACTATCACTTAGAGCCTACTACTCTTAAAGCATATATCTCAAGTAGTAGGAAGTACGCGGAGCAGGATGAATCGCACCCTGGTTCTGCAGGAACCTGTGACAGACATTAGACTGTTCTGAAATTTCCCTGTTTTCATCTGAAGCTGTGACTGCAATACAACAGATAGCCAACCTGTGTATTTGGATAAATCTGACACCACATGGGAGAGACACAGGCACCACTGAAAATACTGGGTTCTTGAAAATGTACGTTTAAAACTCAGCTTAGCTTCACAAGCTTTTTCTGCATAAAGTATCACCGAATATCCTGTTAACTGTTAGACGGTGCTTATCTTACATTTCTCTGGCTAAAAGGACCGCTCGCTCTTCCTCTATTCTCCGGTAACTTTTAATACTCTCTGCTGCACTCTAACAGCAGATGAAAAGAATATTAGTGTAAATGATCCATCAATTTACCTGTTCAGTCCTGGGAACACCCACCAAAAAGGGCCTAAACCGCTCTCCAGGGCAGGGAGCCCTTCATGTTTTTGCGTATTTAAGAACATGTTAGAGGATTGTTTCCTAAGTTAATAGTCTGGGTTCACAATAAGGGACCACAAAATCAGATACAGAAGGACAAAGCACTCCTGAGAATAACAAAGATTCTTTCGCCAGTCAGACTCATCTCCTCATTTTGTGTGTGGTCGCCCTGACCCTTTTCTTTTACCCATTTACACACAGACTAGTTGGAAAGCCGCTACTCAGTAACCCTCTCACTACAAAAATCCCAAAGGTGGTCTCAAAACCTGTCATTTTTTCATCAAAACCCACGCGGTGTACATGAGGATTCTGTGTGTATCAGTTGTTCAGTGAAAACTAAAAAAACAGTGACAGCTGGATGCCCTCCCCTAAAATGCTTTCATTTTATACATTTACTCCACGCATTCCTACTTACTTAAGAAAAGCTGGTTTAAATGATAGTCTGGTCGAACAAATGAAGCCCATCAGAACTTGTAGAAGAGTAACTGCTTGAGCTTTATAACTGGTTCCCAGGACTATCAAAGCTTACACAAAACTGGCATTTCTAGTTCAGACTGTTTTTTTTAAGTTTCAAAGCCTTTCAGATAGTCTCTGTACACTGAAGATTGCCTTTTTCTACCACCACCTCAAAAACGGAACAAAAAGACTATTACATCTCATCTCTTGACTATATTAAGCCCTTCTTTGAAGCATCCCTTTGTAACAAAACTTGCTAGCTATGCGAAATGAATCAACAGCTATTAAGGCTTTCAAGCTATTAGCTTATTACAGTAGCTACTTTCTAATTCTTACGCTCTGCTTCAACTCCTAAAAAAACCCCATGGTGTTGTAGCACCGCAACCCAAAGCTGCTGGGAAATGGGAAGACAGCTTTACTGTTCAACAGCTCCCTTGGGGTTTGACATCTTTTTCCTTTCCTTTTTTCCTTCCCTCACCAGGCTAAGGCCCATGCAATCCAGGCTTCAGGAGAGCTAAGCAAATCGTTAGGTTAAAGTACTTGAGGCTGACAGAAAATGTAAATGATTCTTGTTATCTGCTAAAGGATCCAGTTGGGTGAACCTGCCCAACTGGAGGTGCGTGTTTCGGTGGGAGCTGGAAGGGGAAAGTGCTCCATCATAGGATGAAACTGTGCGGTTAATTATCTTGAGCTGAAGCAATTGTTATTTAACAAGGAAATTATAATTTGTCACAGTGAAGCGGAGAATGGCAGTTAGCTAAGCTAGCTTAGGGTTTTTTTTTTTTTATTTTTAAGTTTGTTTAAAGAAGTCAACTAATCTGCCTAAAAAGGTGGAAGAGCATCATTACCAGAAATCACTGGTTCATCAAAGCACTTGAGTGCATTCTTAGATCCCCTCTAAAGTCAAGAGCTTTATGCATTTACTTAAAATTAAGAATGTGTCTAACTGCTTTGCTCAATCACAGCCAAGACCGCTGCAGCCCTCACAGACACTCGTTTGGTCAACATGTATAAAAAAAGTCAATTTTGCTTCAATGAAGCAAAACTTTATGCAAAACAGTGTCATGAAGTAAGATCCGCACTTTAAAATATGTATGCAAAGCACCTTACGAGCAACAGATGCAGACCACTTCACAAAAAATATTTCTGTAAAAAAAAAAAAAAAAAAAAAAAGGTTGGTACCACAGAGGCAGACGTGTTGCTCTGCCACAGGCAGGGCACAGACCTATTTATAAAGGTCTGGCATCTGCCTACGATCTGCGTAGGAAAAGTGGTGCACAGGATCACTGCTGAACTGATATGCTAAGGAAGAACAATCTGTGATTTACAAGCACAGTTCTCTAGCTCGGAAACAGGAAAAGAGGTTTTTTCCTTAGTGTGATGTGTCGCTGTGAATCATAATGCAAATTAAATTATGATTACAATAAATCAAAATGATAGTTATGGGAAAAACTGTAGCAAAAAGCAGAAGTCTCAATATACAGTCAGAAATACAATATCCCTTTAAAAAAAACAGGGTAAGAATAACAGGAACAATGATACAAGTAATTTTTCAAACCTGAGAATAAAGAAAGGTATCTATCAATAAAGCTTTAGGAAAATTATAGAGACTGGTTTTCTTTTTTAAAAAGGGATACTGCATCTTTAAAACACGTAAAATAGTAAGTCACCCGTATTCTACTTACAGATAGTAGGAGTAAGAATAGTAGCTCCTCCTGGCAAGCAAATCACAGACAGTGGAAAAAGAGAAGCAATGGTGAATGAAAAGCGTGACTCTGTCACATTCAATAAAGCAGAGAAATGTGCGTTTAAAAAAAAATTGAAAAATTTATGTTTCTTTGGTTAGCATTTCAACTTGCTCATGCACAAACTAGCCTTACTTTGCCATGCAATCGAAAAAAAAAATACACTAGCATAGAAAAATGATTTGTTTTTTAGAAAGATCACTTGAGAAAATTACATGCTGAGATTTCATTTATTGCCAAAAAATTTGAAAATTAAATGGATTGTGTATTTTCAACATGCAGTTCAGCATAATATAATGATTACCACCTAGATGTCATGACAAATGAACAGCTGTGTACAAATCTTGTGCAGTATATATGCTTTTCAAGTTTCGGTTACAAAAACTAAAGATCGCATTAACAAATACATTTAATCAGATAACAAATTTCATGTCATTCATTTTAACATCTTTATCGGTACACAGGTGTATACATATATGTTTGTATGCATACTATATATGTAGCTATATGAGTACACACATTGTAAAGGATACACATTTACAACAGGTATGTGTGTACTGACATATATACCACACATTTCCTGAATGCAAACATATGTTTTCTATTTTAAAATCTTACAATCGGAAATGCTGATGTAGTCATGCTAAGCATTAAAAATATGGAAGGTAAACAAATGGAAGGAAATGAAGGACATTTGGAAATAGTCCAACAATGACTTAGAAAATAAAAATGGCATTGCTTGTTAAAGATGCAGTATCCCTTTTCTTAGCTGGTTTGATTACTCCAGTAAAACTCTGTAAGAGCTGTTAAGAGCTTCATTCGGGAAAACTTCAAACCAATTTGTACAAAATGATCAGGCAAAGCCTAAAACATCTCAAGCTCATGAACAAAACTGCTTAGTACTCTGTTTTTCAATAAAATGTAATGCTGCATTTAATCAGATTGAGATAGCGATGGCTGCGCATACGACTTAGTAAACCAATGAAAATGCAGAAACCATTTTTTTTATTGACTTTTCCGTGTAATAAGCTGTGGTCAATTCAGGTACCAAAAGGGATACTACATAATGGATCACTGAATATGTACACTACAGAGGATGATTCAAATGGATTGGTTTTCAGTCCCGCCACAACTAAGTGAAGTGTGTTTATGTACGTGTGAATGTGTCAGGGTTTTTACAGCTGTTCCTGGCTCCGTTATATGAATTGCCCTGACTCACTAGCTGGACTGAATCAGCTCTGGTATACAAAGGTTTTCTATGCTTTTGGTAAGAGACCTTGACTAAAGCTGGTATTAAAATACCCCCACCCACTTTCCCTAAGGGGGTGGGGGGACACACGGGTATGGCACACCTATAACATACGCGCTAGACAACCAATTAAACTCTCACGATGAAAAATTGCCAAACATTAAAGATTCATTAAACAGGTTAATTTCTCACCTACTTTGAATACAAAATAGCACAGGAGTTTAGAAATGCTATGTGCTTTAGAATGATGATCAAGTATCATTCCTAAGAGGGTACTGCCTTCACAGGTTCAGAGAAGGGAAGGGGGGAAAAGGGGAAATTTAAAAATATCGTTTCATGGACATAATTAACTTACTTTCATCAAACAATTCAACAGTGAAAGTATGAGTCTAAAAGGACTCTGAATGCAAGAGGTAAAAAAGACAGGAAAAATGAACACACTGAATTTTAAGCCCCCCCTTTTTTTTGTTACCTGCAAAACTAGTCAATCCCATCTGGAAATGACTGACGTTATATAGTGGTAGACAGTCTCTCTCCCTCTCTCTCTCTCTCACACACACACACGCACACACACACAGAGTCTGCTATTAAATATAAGGGGACCGCTGCCAGACGCACTGAGAAGATGATGCTCCCCAGCACATACCTCGCAATAAAGCTAAAAAAAAGATATTTCTTCCTGAAAGCTGAAAAACAATTTTCTGTTTGCTTTTCAAAAGATGTGTAAATAAAGAAAACTGGCTGACTGTATGTCTTTCTTGCGTATGATGAGTTGGACCTTTTGCATATGTGTTAATTCTCAACCACAGAGGTAAACAACAGAGAAAAGTAAAAGCACTTTTGGGAAAAATCACATATGTAGCTAACTAACACAGAACACTATAAGCATACCTAATGTTTCTAATGCAGACGTTTCTTCTCCAAGTTATATATCTCCAGGGATAATTGTAAAGAGGCAATAAATTAAAAAAATCTAATGCAAACCAGTAATTATAACATATAGAATGATCTTAGGCACAATTTAAATTTTTTTCTTAATCTTTAAAAAGAATAGCAAGCTGTATTTCAGAGGAACATTCGCAACATTTACAAATACACTTTTCATTAAGACTTCTGTATAAGGTAAAGGAACGCAATGCACGTGCCACGGGAAGAGAAAGCTCTTGTTCTACCCAAAAGAAATCAGCTTGTGCCCTGCAAAGGGGACCTGCCAGGGAGGGGGGGCACAGGGGGAGAGGAATTCGTTTCGATGCTCTAACTACGACTTTATATAGAGCCATATTATGAACTTTTATGCCAGGTTAGAAAGAGTTGCGACCACTGGGAAATCGAGACTTTTAAAAACTGACCAAGCACTAGGGTAGCACAATTTCCTCTAGGAAGGAGCGTTTGGATGCGGATTTAGCATTGTGCAATGCCAGAAGATGGCGATATTGCTTACTGTCTAAGAAAGCACTAACACAATTAAAATTCATTCAAATTAATACACTTTTAAACAATTTCATGCACTAAGGACTCACTAGATAATTTTACAGTGGTGTGGTATGACTTGTAAGAAAAAACTCCAGGTTTACAAGAGCATAAATAGAGGTATAAAATTACATTATTTTGCAAGTTGGATAACGTACAGATACAAATAACTCATTAGAGCTGCATATAGAAAATCAAATTCATTAGGTGATTACAACATGAAAAGTGCAGTGAGCTTTTTTGTTGCTTAAAAAAAAACACCTCCATGAATTTCAATTCCGCCCATTTTAATATTCTGTACATTACATTGGCTGCAACTTAAACCAACTTGGAAATCAGTAAGTATGAGAAAATACATAGCTATTGGATCCCAAATATAAAGTAATCCTTGCTTTAAATCCATCATAAGACTCACAGCAAAAATAACAGGAAACACAAAACTCATCCAAAAGCTGATGTGAGCTACTGGTCCTAAAACTTTCTTTTTTTTAATTACCTGTAAAAAATATCTATTTATTTTTTGTTGTTTGTAATGGAGAAAAAAAAAAAGAGGGATCATCACAGATCATTTTCTTACCTTTTTTTGACGATCAATATGACAACAAGGAGAAGCAGGATGAATACCAGAATTCCAGCACTTATTCCTGCTATTTTCACCACTCGATCTGTTTGCTTAGCCGGATCTGGAATCACCTCAGGTTCTTCTGTTGCTGCTGCTAAACGAATCAAAAAAGAAGTTGCTTAAATGTGTAAGAACTAGAGACATGAAAATCATCATTGGTGATCATTTCCAAATTCGTGTGTGTGTTAATGCAGTAGCCAAAAATACAGATATGCGCACCATGTGTTTATACACCCACACATATGTATAGATACACTGTAAGTTTCAATCTATATGCCATACACATTTGCAACACCAAGTATATGACTATATATGTGAGGCACATATATATATATGCCATTTCATGTGTACAGAAGTGCATACGTATGTGGCTTTTCAAACAAGTTACTGCATTACAAAGCAGAAGTATGTTTTCAAAGAGACAATCTATCAACTAAATCACCATTACTTCCTTCGCTGTTATTTTTTCAGATATTAAATATGGGCTATTTAACATGGACTAGTGAGACTACATAACTCACAAACAGTAAATTAAACTCTCTTCTCCAAACTGCAGCTGGCCCCCTAAACTCTAGGCCTTCTCTCCTTCCCCCAGTTTCAGTCCACCTTTGTATATTAATTCACCTTACAGCACCTGGCCCGAGATCTGCGTCCTACTGGGAATTTTGATTCTCTAAATAAGGCCATCCACAAAGCCAAGCTTAAAGTCAGCAGTAATTTTATTTCCGTTTATAGGCCCGGGGCGGGGGGGAAATCGCTGTTCTACACAGAGATGAAACCACTCCGTAACACAGCTGAGTGGGCTGAGGCCACAGGTTAGAGCGGAGAGGAAAACAGAATATATATGAAAGCACACAGCCATTCAGTCTGCACCTCTTTGCATCACAGCCTGGCGCACAAAGGATCGGGAACATGGGGCTTTTCAGCCTGGCAAAACCATAAAAAAAAATATAAATAGGATTCAGCCAGGGGTAAAATCCCATGAGGTGCCCACTTGTAAAATGGGAAACGGCTCTTCAGTTCTCCAGTTCTTACTGAGTCAGTGGCTCAGCACTTTGCCTTTCCCCTGCTCACAGGCGTGGATGATGCTTTCTTCAACATGCGCTTGCCTCCTCTCCCTCTGACCCTTCTTCTCTCTCTCGCTCGCCACCCGGCACGCAGCAGATGCCACTTCACCTCTCCCCCCTCGCAGCAGCCGCACGTGGGGCAGTTACATGCTGTTGGTATCATCGTGCCTATATCATCACACAGAAAGTGTCCTTTACTCTGGAACTAGGATGCTTCTCAACAGACCACCGAAACAAGCAGAACAAAAAACGAGGTGAAGTCACGCCAGAGAAAGAGTACCGCTCCTCTGAAAATCTGCTCCATAGGCCAGTGTCGTCAGTACCAGGGATAATTGGTATCTCATACTTTCTGGTTTTAACCATGTTACTCAGACCATTTCTATCTGGGTTCCGTGTGCTGGAACCCATATAATGTTTTGAGGGAAGGATCACGCTGCTGTTTAAAATCACTATGACTTTTGTAACCTCCATCTAAGCAGCATCTGAACCACTTACTAACAACTTACCCTCAGAACAACTTTCTGAGTTAGGAACGTGCTCTGTTCCAGACATCCAGACGAGAACTACGCAGACAGTGAGAGATCTGGCAGTGCTTTAATCATAAAACTTAATCATCATCATAAGACTTCATCATCATAATCATGTCTCTCCCCTACAGCTTGAACTCCTGTCTGCTGAGAAATACAAAATGCTTCTTCCTTTGTGTAAATACATGCCTGCGAGCATGCTTGCATACATAACCTGCCTGGACTCACTACCACATATTTTGTTTGTATTATGTGTGTTGTTGAGGTGTCTAGGGGTAAGAGTTGGCATCAAGTCAGTGGTGTGTGTACATGTAGCTGCGTACACACAGCACATACACACACACACAAGCTAGAATTAACGCCGGATACGTATGGTGCTGTCTCACAGAGAAAACGAGGGGGATCACTTTTGAGGTGGAACTAGAAGAAGATGTTTGAGATTCCCAATGCTTAAAATGAATCAACTCCCAGTTTATTATTACCTGGGCTGGATAGGACAAACACGAATGAACACTTGATAAGCAGTAGAACCAAAAGGCCAATCAGTAGAGTCAAAAGACCAATCAAAGCTCAAATATAAATGGCTTTATATGTCAATGGGAAAAACCTCATGTTTGCTGTATGGGCTACTGAGAAAGAGCAAGGAAGGGTAGAGAGGGGAGAACCAGTGGAGTGGCATAGTCACTGTGTCTGGAATCGCCATGAGAACAATGTGAGTGCAGCTGGGAAGCTCTGACCTAGCAAAGTTACGAACTACTCAAGCTGCAAAATAACTAAGGCTTGAGCAAGAGGTTTAGTTGTGTGGATGGAGATGTTAAGGCCAGGTCTTCGAGAGATTTCAAAATATGAATCACAAGGATTGGATGTGACCTGAAGACACACTTCAAAAGTTGAAGGCTCAAAAATACATCCAAAAGTACAGGCTTTGAGCCTTGATCAGGATGGTGGTATTTTCACAGGAGTATTAGCGAGAGATGAGAGAGTAGAGAGGAAAGAATGAGATACCTGTCTCACACTTCCCTGGAGAAAGATAGAACCTTTATTGCTTGCTAGAGCAAGCTGCAATATAGGTGCTTCTCAGAGTCATGTTTAAAATTACTGCTTGGCCACTCACCATGTTATTTCATTCAGCAGAGTTACCTTAGAGAAACAACTATACGCTTCTCAGAAAATCTGCAGGGAAGGTTACTGAGGGAGTTTGCTTATTTGCGTAACTCAGGTGGTGGTGTTTTATTATATACTCTGTAAGAAATGATTGAGTTTGGATCATCAGTAACTGTTCAAAATGCAGCGCTCTGTCCAAGTTTTTAGAACAACAGTACAAAGCCAGGAGGATATCAACTGCTTGTCCACTCATTCTGGTTTCCTTACACTAAGGGGTTTCAAGTAAGAGGCAGCAACTCATTCCATGAACTTTAACGCTGCTTACCAGATAAAGCTGGAACCCACTAGAAATGTACCAGAGAGTCCTAAATTAGTGGAGGAAAATTATATTGAATAGTCATAGACTAAGCAAGCGTATAACCACTGGTTGAGCCTCCTATACCCAAAATGCTAAAATCTATGGGCAAAACGCTACCCTCCTCCCCAGAAGGGAAAAATTGCTTTTGACTTACATGAAGCCAGGATTACTAGATGTATGTTTCCAGTAACAGATAATACATGCATTCTCTAGACTAAATATTACATTTGGGGACTATGTGAAAGCAATTATAGATATAAATCACACTGTAATCTTTTATTTATGTGTATGCGCATTGTATGCAATAAAGTATATTATTTTGAGGAAGCCATTGAATGTAGCATAAATCATTTAATGAAACTTATGAATTTGAAAGTATTTCCTATTACTTGTGTTTTAATTTTGATACTTCAAAGTGTATTATAATAAGCATGTGTGAGCTTACACATACACAACCAAAGGAAAAAACCATAGAAAACTTGTGCCTGTGTGTTAAACTTATGTGCCTAAATCAGCATCTGCCGGTTGCTGATTGCACAAGGACTACAGAAGCAAGAGAAATTCTGCTTACTCTGAGGACTCTCTGTCCTCTAGACTACAAGACCGTCAGGATTTTTCTTTCTCTGAAGTGGCTCTTCTAGAAGCTGAACTGCTAGTTTTGCCAAACAAAGCAACTCAATTAACCAAGGCTTCGCCAAGGGCAAATCTTGCCTAACTAACCCAGTGGCCTCCTATGATGGAGCAACTATAACAGTGGACAAAGGAGCAACTACTGATGTCATCTATATGGACTTCTATAAGCCTTTGACATGGTCCTCCACGACATCCTTCTCTCTAAATTAGAGAGATACAGTAGTTAAAAATGGAATTATTTGGTAATTGAAGTTAACTATTGTATATTTCTAAACAAGGTAAAAATGGTTGACAACTAAATTCTAAGTTATAAAAACACCTGCTTTACTAATTCCTAGCATTCCTTTTTAATAACCTAGTCCTGCAACCCTTTCTTGTACCTTGAATGGCAGACTGTATGAAAAGGTAATTTACCAATTTCAAAACACCTTTGCATGGTAACAGAATGATGATTATATGAAAATAGGCTCTCTAATGGCTACCAATTCCCTTGGCCAGCCTTACTCCAATAGACCTTAAATTGTTAATTTTTACAGTATCCTTATTTACTATATTTTTCACAATTTGAGCCTGTAAGCCTAAGAAGAGATATTCCTACAGTTAGTAGGAATTAACTAGTGCAAAGTCATCTTGCATAAAATTTGCAAGAAGCATTTCTGATCTGAAACAGAGAGTTAACTATTTTCCTCCCCTCCCCCCCCCAAGAATAGCTGCCTACACAGAAGATTTCTGAGCTAGACTGGTAGGAGAACACTGGATTTTGCAACTTATCCACTCGCCTTTCTTCTGAACTAACGAACAGTAACAGCAATCATCTCCCACAGTCCCATTCACAAAGTTCATAAAATAACTTGATCCAGTGACTCTGGCTCTGCACACTGCCAACAATAGTCACCATATACGAAGTAGTTTTCCTTGGTTTTATAGATACTTAAAGACAATAATCAATCAGTTGACTTCCATGATCAATGGTATGAAGTTCAACTGTGAACAGCACTAAATTAGAGTAGGATTGCTAACACTCTCAGGGACAGTAAAATTGTAAATAGTTGGTGAGGTAGAGCCCATCTTATTCTCACAATTTCCTGTTATACTTAATACTTCTGATTTTTTTAATCTTGTTTTTAATCAAATACACCTAAAAATCCAACACCCACTTCTAAAATTGAGTGTTATGTGTAATATTCATACTTAATTCTTAAAGTATGCTGTGGCATAAGGAATCCAGTCACGGCACATATTGCTTTCCTGTCTTCTCTTTCCTTCTGTGGCTCAGAATTTACACACAGCCTTGCAAAATTGTCAGAGAATTTATGAGACTCAGCACAAAATCTATTCACCTATACCTTCCTAAGAAGATGGTGTTGGAATCAGGATAATGATATTCTCCTTGCTCATCCAAACA